TTGGGTATTTTGACTTGGTCTTGGGTTCTTGGGTATTCCTTTCAAATCCTTTGGTATTTTTTTTTACTAAGAAAATTAAATATTTTTGTCATAGAGGAAAAATTAAGAAGTAACAAAGTATATTTCAGTCCATTCAAGTAAGCAAAACTCAACGAAGTGCACATAACATTGTTAATTGACTGTTAATTGCTATAAACATGGGTTCAGAATTGTTTATTTGTGACTTGCGTTGCCATTCATTACATAATAAAACTTGATCACTGATCTACACTGATAACACTGAGGGCGTATTTTTCTATCTGTATTATCGCCTCATGAATATTAATTTTAAAAATTAACACAAACAATTACAATAAAAAATGGTTTATAAATTGAACTAAAAGGGAAACTATACATGCCAAAAACACGTATTTTTCGAATTTTAATGCATTTTCAGGAAGCTTGGGTAATTTTTGGCAATTTTGGCTGAATCTTGGGTAATTTCGACCCAGTCATTGGGTATATCAAAAATTGTGAGTGGTCACGCTGATGTGTACTTAAAAAACGCAATTATACTCTTTGAACTTGTGAGCTTCACACTAAAAATACCCTATCGTTTCCTACTGAACTATTATAAAAACCGTGGATATAATTTCGAAGATTTTACGCAAATCTAAGGTGTTGATTGGTGAAGCTGGATTGACCCTAACATTATTGCACTACGACATGACAGAACAATATGCTTTTATTATTAAAAAAAAAAATCTGAGACAAAAGTGGATTGGGATTTTCCTGGATTTTTGCCATAGCATTTATAGATTTATAGGAGAATAAAATTTAACACTGGAATTAAGTAGGCAGATGCAAAGCCTAATCTAAGGCGGAGATGGTCACAATCTGTACCCGTGTTGAGTTAAGAGTATTTTCAAACACAACACAAAATATTCGTTGTATGGCATCTCCATTTGAGGAAACTATGGATTATGAATAAATCCATGCTTTACTGTTTTATTTCTACTGCAGATGAAAAAAAGCAAAAAATGAAGATTATGATTGCTATTAACATGCAAAGATTGTCCAGTATCGAAATTTGCCGTTCGCACTTCATCAGGAACAACATAACCAAACAGATGTTAATTTCTGTTTAATCGTTCTACTACTAAGTTACAGTGTTACATAAATTTTTAGTAATCATAAAGATCGAAACATTTACCATGTGTTTCTTCAGTTTGCATGACTGCTGTAACAATACTCTGCGGAGATTCGGAAGTTGTGGCGGGTTCCGTTGTGGGGGGTTCCGTTGCAGTGAAATTCCTCCCTAAACATAAAATACCAGGACCTTGTTCGGGAAATAAATTGCAATCAAGTTTATCTGGCCACTGAAATCCAAATCTGTTCATAAGAGCTTCACATCCATTTTTAGCACTTTGGCAAAATGACTTGCATGGCGGTATAGGGAAATCAACCATAGTGCAAGGAGGCACATACAGAGAACACAAAAAATATTTCAAATCCAACGAGCATTCCACTTTGACGAGAGGATAAAATTGATGTACTTCCAAGCCAGCATCTTCTTGGTTTTGATTTAGCAGATTTGGAAATACTGTAGTGTTGTACGGAAGCTGGCGACAAAGTGGAATTGTAATAGCTTCACATCGCGCCTTCTCATAGCTGTCTTTAACAGCAGCAACTGTATTTAACAGCAGAATCGACAAAGTTAAAACAGAGGGTGGATTTACCAACCTTCGGTTTTTCGAGTTATTTTCTTGGCAGCACATAGTGAGTGGTTGTTATTTTACCCCGACCAAGCTATCAGCTTCAAAATATCTAATGCTATTGTTCGAAGTTTAAGTCCAAACTTACAAGCCGAATGTCATGTAGGCCTATGTCGCTGTGACTACACCCTGCCTGCTACTGTTTCTAATATTTCCTGTACACTATCTATAAACTAAATACAGTTCGTTGGAAGACGTCATAGAACGTAGTTGGCGGCAACAGGCAGTACCATACGAGGAAGACGTTTCTTTTTTGGTTACCGGAAAATGTTAACTTCTAATAGGCCTATTCAGATTTAGGTAAAATTATTTTCATTTATTTTTTTTTTATTTCATTTATTTGTCTCAAAATATTAACATTTACAGAACAGCAACGAAAGAACAGGGACATTCAAAAAGTAAAATCCTTGTCCAGAGGGGGAGTCTTTGACAGAAAACAAATGCTTACAATAATTATAACATTTTACTTATTAATAAAACATCTAAAGTTTTTTTTTAATCAGTACGAAAAAGAGAGCATAATTTGAAAGGCGTTTAGAATATTTAAATATTCGGATTAAATATTAGTTTAGAAATTCAATTTTAAAATGTCTAATCATTTTGAAGCATTTAGATTTAGAAATGAAAAGGGTTTAGAACCAGAGATTTACATACGCAGAAGTTGGAAACGCCTTTTCTTCTGCACTGAGACAAAACATATTCAATCAATCAACTTTATAGGATAGGTGTACGTGTACGTAAGTGGTAGGGCCTAAGCACGTCAACAACCACGTTTTCTAGCCCTCACCACATTCTCTTGCAGATACGCCTTTGCTCAAAAACCCTCCAATTACAATTTTGCTACTCATTAAACTGAACTATGAGGTCAAATTGGCGTACATATACATTGTAATTATATATATATTTATATTTATATTTATATTTATATTTATATATAAGCTACTATAAACCAACACAAAATAGGAACACTGCTATACCATGTAATAAAATATTGATAATTACCATATGATAGGCCTATGTCAGTTTCTATTAGGGTTGTAGCTGCTGAAGGGTATGTGGCCGTTGTAGCAAGTTCCGTTCTGTTGGCGTACCTGCCTATACACATAACGTTAGAATCGTCTTCAGGGAACAGATCACAATTAAATTTTGTGGGCCAAATAAATCCATGTCGGATCATGAGAGGTTCGCATCCATTTTTAGCATTCTGGCAAAGCGACTTGCAAGGCGGTATCGGGATTTCAACAACAGTACAAGGAGGTGCATACAGTGAACACACAAAAAATATAAAATCAGTTGAGCATCCGATTTTGATGAGAGGAAAGAACTGTTGAGCTTCCATACCAGCATCTTCTTGGTTTTGATTCAGTAAATTTGGAAACACTGTCATGTTGTATGAAAGTTTTTGACAAAGTGGAATTGTAATGTCTTCACATTGCCGCTTCGTACTACCAGTGCTTCCGTATGTACCACCAAAACCTTGTAGTACTGGTAGGCCTATTGTATCATGTGGCAAATCCTGGGATAATGCTAGTGTTAGTTGAAACATCCAGATGCCCGCAAACAACTCGACCCACCTTCGATGGATACATAGATATTCTTCGAACCCCATAGTAATGTATGTCGTTATTGTGCAATACTACAAGTTTTCACTTCAAAAGCCTCCAAATCTGACGCTGGCGGAAAGGCTGTGATAAAGTGTTAAGCTATTATAAACAGATGATATGCTGTATATCGCTGCCACCGTACTACTCTACTTCCTATCCTATTGTTTCCAATTTCCGGTACAATATGATTTTCTGAATAATCAAAGTTAGAAGACCTCATTAAAGACATATCATCATCTCTACAAACGAAGTACCGACTTGCACTGTCCTGTACCCCTTTTACCATGAATGAAACATTTACACGAATCAGTAGGCCTACATAGGCCTATATGGTTGGTATTATATGACTAAGGGGAGAAGTGAATTTTTTGTATAATTAAAAATAAAATCAGGAAATAAATTATTTTCGAACTTAAGTCTGAGAGTGCAATTTCGTACTGACCTGGAACCTATAATCGTCTTGACCGATCAGGGAAATTTGTTTGGAGCGAGTGACCATGCTGTTGGTATTTTACTTAGGCCTATTAATTAAAGAGATTTAAGAAACTACTAGGCTTAAAAGATGATGCTTTAAGAAGTGGTAAATGATAGTTTGAAAATGTATTCTCAAAAGCAGAACGGTGTTGAACTTGAATACGGATATTATGTTTTTTCACCATATAAAAGGAAAAACATTTAAAACTTGCAATATTTAAATGTTAAGTCATATATAACCTTCTGAAAAAATTTGATATAGACCTTGCTTCGATTACGGTATTTTATGAATAAATATTAATACTAAAACATAATGTAAAGAGTGTGCTCTAGTTATTATTATCACTACCACCACCATCATAATCATCATCATCGTCATCGTCATCGTCACCATCATCATCATCATCCTCATCATCATCATCATCATCATCATCATCATCATCATCATCATCATCATCATCATCATCATCATCATCATCATCATCATCATTATTATTATTATTATTATTATTATTATTTACATGAGTAATGATTTACAGGAAGCATTGGAATTAAATCAAGTAGGCCTAATACAAGAAATAAACAATAAGAAATCCAATCCACCTCTTCGGTTGTTTCCTTTTGTTAGTCTTATGATATTTCTCGGTTTAGGTTTTTGTTCTTTCAAGACTTTTCAAGCACATAGAGACAGTTCCAGTAATTTACGCTATCAAGTACACAGCCATTACCATTACTACTCACAAATAGTAAGACGAAATGATAATCTTCACGAAGGCGGAAAAGAGAGAAGGCGGTCTCTTGGGTTGACAATAGTTATATTCAAAATGTCCACAAACCATGAGATTGAAACTGTGCGAATTGCAACAGTCTCTACCCTGGATTGTACGCATGCAACAGACTAGAAAGGCAAGTATATTAAATGCTGCTTCTTTTGATGTTATCGGTATTCCTTTCATGTCCATTTTAATACATGATTGAATTATTCTACAAAAATATTAATATGTCTGATAATCTAGGCCATGCTAACTTAAATAGGCAATAAATTATGATCCATAATGATAATAAGAATGGTGATGAAGATGATGATGATGATGATGATAATGATGATGATGATGATGGTGACGATGACGATGATGATGATGATGATGATGAACACGTCTGTGCTGATAGTGTACTCAAACTTTGCCGGGTCCTCTAATGATATTCTACGTATTGCGGCTCCTGTCACTAAAATAGTTTTTAGCCTCCTGTGTGCATTGTTTCAAAAAACTAAAGAGTAATTTTATAATCGAGCTTGCTTGATTCACATCTTTTTTATACACTGCTTTTCATTGTTTCAACTTTATCGCCAATCGGAAAAAGATGTAGGAAATAATTCAATGGTGTAGTATAATAATACGAACCTTTATATTTATTGTTGTATATTTACCGTAAAAAATAGTTTTTAATATAGAGTACAGCGCTTTAATAACTATAAAGGCGCTTAATAAATGCTTCTTAATATTAAATTATAATAATATTAATAGGCGTAATAATAAAATGTGAAAAACAAAAAATAAAGAACGTGATAACGAATTACGACATGTACGGAACATATAATTTATATCGAATTGCTGATTACAAAATACAAGCAAACCTTATTAAATATTCAACTTTGTAAGATTAAATCATAATTAATACGTCTATTTGGTCAAAACAATCTGGAAAATAACTTTTGGGACAATAATTCATGTAAAATATTTGGAATGGTTGCCGGATGATAGTGAATTTTTAAATTATTTTGGGACACCATTGATATTCATTGGGTAGCTATTAAACATAGATATCACAATCAATTTCTTCAAATTAAAATCATAATCTAAAATAGAATATTTTAAAAAGTATTATATCATGACGTAAACAATATGGCAATTATAAACCAACTTAAGGGCGCACTTCAATACTTTGGAAAACTATTTTTGCAAACAACATACTCTCATATATATAGGCCTTATCTTAATATTTTATCCCTACTTTGTTCAAAAATTAAATATACAATATACACCTTATCTAACATAACTAGACCATTCAAACGGGAACCCTCCAAATGTAATTTGGGAGTAAGACCTCTCTTGGTCGGTGTGGTTATTTCACCTTTGAGGACGAGATATAGTTTGCCTTTTCATTTTCTCAGTACAAAAAGTAGGATACCGTTTTGCAAAAGTCTGAAAATGTCAACCCAAAATAAATGAATACAACGGCCTAGCATCAGCCATGATATGTGCTCCTTTGCCCGTTACTCAAATTTGTTTTCATTTTATTATCAACTATATAAATATTACATTCTAGAATAAAATAATCTAGAATTTTAAATTCACATTTAAATAACGTCTTGACTATTCCAGCCATGATTTGTAAACCTTATAATGTGTACATAAGAAGGTCAACGAAAGATCAATCAAATCTAGTTAAACTTTGAAACAATTTTGATGCTCCATGTTTGTACAATAAATAAAAATGCATAGCGCCCTCACTTATCTTACGATTGCTTTTCAATAAGTTGAGTTTCTATTTATATATTTTACCCATTGAAGATATTTCAATAAAATTTGTATAGGTTTTAATTTAATCAACACCCAAAGGCCTATTCTATATCCCAATGTTCACATTCTAATTTTGTTACGATATGTAAAACTCCATTAATTAAACCAGATAAAGAAAAAATGTCGAATAAGCTATGAATTAAACAGCGTGTGTCAATAAGGGCTCTATATTTATGCACAGGTTTACCAAACACCTTTGTGCGAATATAACATTAAGAAGTATCTAATACTATACAATTAATTTGGGGCACAAAAAATAATAATTCATCAACCTGTCCTTGGCATTTTGTCCACAGCACATTGGGGTAAAAGGAAGTGAATTCGTGCTGATGTGACGGCAGCACCCTGCCGCACAAATCTGGAAGATAGACAAGGTAAAGTAGTGGTGGTGAAGTGAAGAGCCTATCATTCGATTTGATCAACAGTCGATGTCCACGAATTTCCTAGTCGTGTGCCTGAATGTTCTTGATCGTGACCACGCGTGTACAGAACTAATAACCAGCCTTTTGTTATCCTTGTATCCGAAAATAAGATACTCTTCGCCTGGTTTCAAAATGTTACAACATTCAGGAGCTACCATATCTAGCATATGGAAAATCATCGCCTTCAAATCACGCTTCTTCAGGCCGTCTCGTTTATATATCTCGCGTTTTCTTTCGTTGGCCGAGTACGTTGTCTCCTGAACTGTACTTGTAATGGTCTCCAGGCGTATCTTCATGACTGAAAATTTTAAAAATATCAGAATGCTAAATCCACAAAAATTACAGCAGTTAAAACCGGAGACAATTAAACATTTAACATTTTAAAGAAACCCTCAATAAAAGTAACAACACACCATCGCCTAAAACTCGGCATCCATAAAGAGATCCATTAATCTAATGCGGACATACTTTTGCAAACTCTTTGAAATTTTTTTTAAAAATTTAATTCAATTTATAATGTCATCAAGGAAAGCAAATATACCATAAGCAAAGGCTACTATACTAGTATTACCAGCTCACAAACAAAAATATATCGCATCAATCGGGATTATCAATAAACGAAAAACTGAACTGACGAACGCTTCTTTGGGTTTAGTATGATACACTTTTAAAAGAACCAGTAAAAGTTTGCCCAGGCTGTTCTTGTTTGGTTTTTTTTTTGGTTGGGGGGGGGTTGTTTTTTTTTTTTTTTTATAAAAACCTCATTTGACATTTTACCTCGGTCTCAATTTGTTCTAATTTTGTTTTTAATTTTTAAGCAATTTCAATCTCAGAGTGATTTCACTTCTCTTTATCGTGTGCTTTAAGTTGATCATGGTGCCCTGTAATCTTCAGGATGGACGTAACTTTATAAACCGAACTAAAATTTGTTACGGTACTTTTATTTAGCTTGACGCTCTAATCCTGTTGTGTTCATTTTAAATAAACTGTTTAAGTGACTTTCGTTTTCCCAAACCAGGATGTTTCATAAATTTAGCAAATTCATCTCAAACATCGGTGGTAGGCATGCAATCGATAGAAAGCGATATAATTTCCTACATAAGGCGAGACTTTTTTTATAACTTGTTTAACGAACCCGCCGACTGCAAATATTGATGAATTCGAATAAAAATAAAATTTTATTTTTGGCCAATTAGCGCACCAGCTTCCACAAAAAAATGAAAATTTCAGAAAAAAAAAGTTTTTTTTAATTTTTATCATGCCCTTCGCTGCCTTGAAATCTCCATAGATAAGGTATATAGGACTATTTCTTCCTAATTATATAAATTTGAAATTTTAAATTTACCAATAAATTTACCAATATGTTATTTTTATATTAGGCCTATCCTCCGTCAAAACTATTTGCTAAATAAGAAAACAAAATCTATTTTAATTTTTATTCCGCCCTCCTCCGATGATCTTTAAAAAAAATGACTCAGATTCAGTTTTTAATGTCGGTTTACCCGAGATTAATAAATATTATCGAGTCAATCAATTCCTTTTATTTCAGACAAAGTACATATTAAATTACAAAGCAATTGAGATTTTAAAAAATAACTGCTAAATAATAGGCTTATACAAATATTAGACATGTTGCTGCTGAGATAGAATCATTGTCAATCGTTGTTCGGTAATAAACACTGACAGTCGCTTATGATCAGCAGACGACTTCCTGACAAGTTTGCTTTGTTTTCTACCTGTCAACAGACTTTAATACATAAGACAGTTAGGACCTCAATTAAACTTGCGGTAAATATGAAAAATCTAGCCCCGTTTGACACTGAGTTTGAACCATGGTTTGAACTCGGGAGATATCGAAAACGCTCCTGCGGCCTGCGCAGTGTGTGTAGGCATATCAATAGGCATTGGAGCAACCATTTTCTAGAGAATGCTTAAACGTTTTAAATTTAAAGTGGGTCGAAGGAAATTGATCGTGATTTTGTTAAATTCTAGAGTATTATTTGATAAGATCACCCAGTGTAATCGGGATTCAAACGTGTAAAAACATCAAGAGGTAATTAGGACTATTGGCAATACTTCCTTGAAAGCTTAAATAATGTATTTTGATGCTACGACAATTGAGGGCGCTATTATACTAATTAATTTTCTCACGGCAGTGAAGTGTATTGCAAGCTTGGCAACATTTACATACTCGAGCACCACGCCCTACTGTTTAAATTTGATAGGTGTGAGCCACAAGGTAAGCTACCAGTGTACTGTTAGGGCATAAATAATTCTTTAACAAATTATATGCAGGCTAGATAATGTAAGCAAAACGGAAGTGCATAATCATTATGTTTTTGTGGCAATTCATAGTTGATGTATTCTCTGATTGACTGTAGTTTATAGAGCTGGTGCAGATAGAAATAATAACTAATAAATCACCGAACATCAATCAACAAAAAAAATCTCGACCTGCGTGGACATTTCCGTTACTGGGCATTATCGCAACATGTGGCAAGTGGACCATAGGTAAACACATGTCACTCAATGCGTTATCTTTCCGTGTTTTGTCCAAGCATGGAGAACACATTTTTATAAGGACACCGAGGCTGAAATTGAGGCTGAGGTAAAATGAGGCATTTATTTTTTTTTCAACAGAAAACTAACAAATCTATCTGTACCTTATTTTTAGTACCGGTAGGTGTTACTATGTAATACCCTCTATAATACAGTAAAGTAATAACTATGTTTGAAAAGTATGTAAAAATAAGAAAAGAATAAGAAAATGTTTAGACTGAAATCGGCCAAAAAAATAAGTACACTGAGTATGGGCAAAATGTTACTGGTTCTTATAAATAAAAAGAAGTGTAGTAGGGTTAGTGCGTCCCACTCAACTCCAAGTGCTATAAACAGAAGACTTACCGAAATGCGCTTTGCAAAACTCTGAAAGAATCTCTTCGCTTTTAACAACACTAGATTCGTAACAACTAGTCATATCATCTTTTGGCACTGAAAGTAAGAAAGCATTATAATTATTGCCAAGAAAACAACATTTTGTAAAATAGGCCGGCCTATTAATTTCCAATGAACATAGGCTAAGTTTTTCACTGATTTAGAGACTTGCTACAAAAACTTGCTACAACCTACCAAACTAACGAAATCAATTAAGCAATTAAAAAATGTTTTTAAAAAAAATTAATTGAAAGCAAACACTAACAATCAAATAGGGCCTATTTATTTTCATTTATAAGTTGTTCAGCATATCAAACGGCACAAGCTTTCATAGCATCGAGATTTATGGGTCTATGGCAACATGAGGATAAACACGATTAGCAAATGAATTAGTATTAGAAACAACTAGATAGCCCCTACGTTTTATCAAAATATGAAATATCGAAATTGCTAATAAACTAATAGGATTTGTAAGGTATTCGAAGGGTCGCGTTTGTGGACACGATTATGCCTACATTAGTATTAAGCCTATCTTATCAACTGACACAATTTTGACAAAAAATATTTATTAATTTTATATAATATTTCATATCTTCAATAAAAGACACCCATGTTTAATGTAGAATACAGAGCCTCGACTGCAGTGCAAGGTAGGTTTGCGTGGAGCTGTGTCATATTCGTGGTATATTGTATAATTTGGACAGCTTTGGAATTATTGGAAATACAACACCGGTGTTGGTGGTAGTAATATTCTACTGAGCATGTGTCAATTTGTATTGCATTTCTTATTTTGATGGACAGCAAGTTCTCTTCACAGCTTTCCTCATCCTGTCCATCAACCTAAGTTGGTATACATAGCGCATGCGCCGATCATTTTTTTTTCACCTGAGTCTTGTTAGCCCACACTGTGTGGATTAAGAGAATATAAAAAATGCTAGAAAACATCTCTAAAAATCTAATGAACAGTATTTTGAGTTTAAATTAAATGGAAGTGACATTTTCTACCGCAATCATATTTTTTTTTATTTGCTTGTAATTGTATTATTACGTTGGTAATGAGGACCACAAATAATGATAAGTTCGTTATATTATGGAAATCCTAGCTCCATGCTTAACTGACGCATATTACTGCGCATATGACGCATATTTCGCGTTTATATTTACTGTATTGTATGACATTCATAGGTTAGTACGGAATAATTTTCACGGCCACCCAACAGGCGAATTTATGTTATTACCGGTACCACGTATACCGCTTAACCATTGACATTTTCTGTTTGGCAATGTAACGGATTTTTTTTAAACGCTCGTCGACGTCTGAAATGACGTAACTAGACATTTCTACAAGAAATGCGACATTAAATATCTTAGCAAAAATGCCACAGAGCTATTAATTTAGGCTTATCATACGTCAAACCATGGAGGTAAAATAATAGTTTAGACTTTTGTGTTTAAGTACCGTGTCCGCCTTTTCAAACATTGTCAGGATATCGAGGATGACAAATAAACAAAAAAATAAATTGAACACTAAGCAAACCAGGGAGGCAGTAATAATACACCAGAATTCAAGATCTGTCTACTGCGAATAACCGACAGCTAAAAACGATAGGATCTACAATTCTCAATCTTATGAGTTCATCATTTCATAAAAGCAGCAGAAGTATGAACAAACGAACCGAAATAACGTTTTTTGGCCCAAAATGTTTAGAAAAAACGCTGCAATTGTGTTCTTTGTCAGACTAGGCAGTATTTTTACTAATACATTATTTTAAGTTAATGGGCAAAAAGTATTATGGACGCAAAGGGAACTACACCAGATGATGTTATCACCTGAAACAATCGTCGATAGGTCTTTCCCCCTTAGGCACACAGCTTAATGTATCACCTTCGAGCGGTCTTTTCTTTGAAGTCTATGAATACCGAGTAAATCGTCGTACCAACAGATCGCATTTAAAAGTACTGTCTAATATTGAAACGAGTTAGTTTTCGGGGTTGTTTGCTTTCCGCCTTGAAAATTGTGTCAACATTCGACATTGTTAATGAAATTTTACCCCATTATTCGCCTCAATACATCCCCGAGAGACGTTGTCTGAAGGTGATACTGCGAGAAAATACTCACCGCTTCTTAGTATTAGTAACGAACGAATGATGAAATAGTTTACTCGACGATAGGACGTTTCACACGAACGACAAACCTTTTCTTCATGTAAACTAATTTCTTCATAGCGTGAACAAATTAAAAAAAAGAACCAGGGGACCTTAATTGACCGATGAAAATGCAAACGATTAAATAGATAGGCCTCTAAACGAGTCGTAAATGAAACAAAGGATCGCAAGGATATATTTTAAATTGAAAAAAAAAAAACACTGACAATTTTGGCTCCTTACAGACAATTACTCCTTCGAAATGTTTAAAACAATTTAACACCAGCATAGAGTCGCTACAATACGATTGTATTTATTTTAGAGTCTAAATAAAACACAGTAGTCTTCCTTCTAAGAATATCGGTATCCTTACTGAGCTGCGATGCGCAAACTGTAATTCAGTTACTTTTAAGGTGGCTATTGCCTTTCAACTATTAAAATTAATTTAAACAGAAGCTTAAGAGCAGCTTGTCATTCAACGGGGCATGAAATTACCTGAATTACGATAATTAGGCTGATAAGTAATCTAAGAAGGACTGAATGAAATTAATTGTCTTGTCTTCCAGTGTGCGATGATAGAAAAACCACAAAATGTGACCAATTAGATGGCTCGTGTGATCTGTATCCTTTCTAGGTGTCGCGGATAATATTAGTCAATGAAGACGGTAGCGGATTAGAATTAGCCAAGATAATATCGATTTTACACACATCAGACCACAATAATAGAGCTATTAATAGCAATTGTATCTGCAGTGGCAGTGTAGGTCTATCGGATTCCAGTCAAAAATGTTGTATCGCCCACCAGAATGATTACCGCATCAAGCGAAGATCTCTCTTAAAGATTAATGAAATGCAATGGTCATTGTACACACAAAAACAATAGGCCTATACTCAATATGATATATTTTTAAATATATTTTCTCGATGCCGTACCGGTACTGTACTTAATAATCACAACCAGTTGGCCTATAACGGTATAAACTTGATTTCAAGTGGGCATATAAATGAGGGAAGCGAATACAATCTCAATACTTAAAAGTTGCACAGTAGATGACGATCTCCGATGGGATATAGATATTTTTTTAGATTTTGACCACAGAGTAACCAGACACAGCTTATGGGAATTAATCGATGAAGTTAAATTCAATTTTGTTATCAATCAATAATAATTATCGTTTTTATATTTAACTAAATACCTGTCCATGTTGAAATTTTATCAAATTGTTCAATCTTGTATACACCCAACTTTACACTAAATTCGGTTCACTTTTTTTAGGCCTACAAGATTTACAGTGTATGCTGTCAAAACCTTGATAAACACGCAAAATAATACCATGCATTCACTCAAAGTTGACATGAACTATTAAAACCTATTTAGACAACAGGTGCGTGTAATTTCTCAGTGTTCCCTCGAAATAACATTAAGTTTATTTAAACGACTACAGGTAAAGGAAGAATGTTTGATTTCATTAGATGACTCTTGTTAATTTCATCATGCTTCTTTGGTGCCATGGGCCAATTATGTTCATGACCTGATTTTAAGTGAATGTAGGTTTCACATTATACTTATAAAATGCGTAGCAGGTTAATTAGGACACCAATTTAGCAACCTGTATAATGCTAACACTTCCTGGCTTTCGAAAGTAATAAAATGCGCATATGCTTAAATGCTAGAGTAATACTCCAAACGATCAAAGCAACAGGGGTCACTGAATGGGCAATGCCCAAAAAACTTCCTTTAAAAAAACTATAGGGACCCAATATAATTTCGGATTTAAACAAAGTTTGAATTCTAAATTAAATATAACGACTACTGACGAATAGGCTTCGGACATCTGGACAAAACCTGTCTCAATTCAGAGAGTAAAGTCGCAAGCAATAATCGAACGACAAGTTTAACTGACGTCAAATATTTTAATAGATATTTTAATCGCGGAAGATTATATCTACAAAGAAAAGACTATTAAACGCGCATCTCAATAAATTGGCAGAATTTATCGACAACCACGATAAGGATATGATAAGGCAACTTAATTATTACTTAGGCCATTAGATCAATAGTGCATCCGCGTATGTCAAAGCATCATACAGGGAAAGTACGTTCACTGCCGAAAACAGAAGAGTCGCTATGCGGATGAAAATTAGTAGGCTTACTTTATACAGTAGGAAAAAAAATACATAGAAAGTACTATTTTTCATGATCGATAAACCAAGAAAATTAGATATTACATTTTTCTACTCGACAAGATCCTGCAGTACATACTCAGATATATTCACACTGAGGAAGAATGCGCAAATTAGCAGTGATGTTGGCAGTGTATGAATGACATCAGTGGCATTTATTCATGAAATAGATTACATATCATTTTTGAAATATTTGTGTACTAATAATACATAAGACTGGTTATGGATAATGGTTATGACGTTCGCCTTGACAGCGAGAGGTCGCAGGTTCGAATCCTGTCAGAGGCATTTTATTACCCAATTTCTTTACTTGTGTATAGGACAATCGTTGAGAGCTATGCTACATAATGTATTATGAGTGCCGTAGCCAGGATTTTTAAATAGTGCGGGACAACATCAGGGTGGACTCACTTTACGCGTAAATTCAAATGTGGACCTTCTTTTAAAGTTGACCTATTTTACGCAACAATATAAAAAATCTGGACACATTTCTTAAAAGTTGACCCATTTTATGCAAATTATGAGAAATATGGACGCATTTTTAAAAAAGTGGACCCATTTTTTAAAAATTGGACACATTTTTTGTGGACCCAATAGAAAATTTGTGTGGGACTGTCCCAGGTGTCCCAATAGCTGGCTCCGGCATTGATCATGTCCTTTATATTCTTTGATGACTCTATATGTATATATATATATATATATAATAATATATATATATATATATATATATATATATACACCTACATATATATATATATATATACAATAATCATCAAAGGAAGGTATATATATATATACATATATATTTCCACTCATAGGCCTATTCGATCTGTCTTTATAACTCAAGATAGATTTAAGTGTATAAATTAATCGTCGTGAAGGGTCTATATAATAATGTAGTTCGATTGACTAATTAACCCATCGTTAATGTAAAGATGCTGTCAACCAGATGATGATTAAGTAGGTGTTGTGTGTTAAAACAATGCTGTGTTAAAACGCCCATTATTGTTATTATGTAGAATGAATAAAAATCATGACATCATAGGAAACAGGCGTAATTAACTTGAAAATCCTTACCTGGGGCTATTGTAGTAGTTAAGACAGGCGATGGTAACTTTGTAACTGCCTCAGTACTCCTGTTACGGTCTATGCATAGAACATCCGGACCTGCATCCTGGAACTGACCACAATCGAGCTGCTCTGGCCAGCTAAAACCAAATCTATTCATAAGGACCTCACATCCATACCTGGCTTGCTCACAAAGATTCAAACATGGGGGAATGACAAAGTTTTGAATACAGGGCGGAGCATACATCATACACAGAAACAAACGCAAATCATCTGAACATTCGACATTTACAAGCGGTAAAAACTGAGCGATTTCCGCGCCTGCTTCCTCCTGATTCTGGTGTTTGAGAAAATTTGGAAATGTCGTCATATCGTACTCCAAGTTCTCGCACATCGGGATAGTAACTGGCTGACATTTTTTATAGCCTTCTTTTTGGCGACGCGCTTCGACTGACTGTCTATCCGGAAAGGATAGCAAAATGAAAACAATAAGCAAAAATAACTCCATGCACGTGGACGAGTGTACAAACATCTTATTTCTATTTCTGTAACGTATTTTCAGCGATAGAAAGTTGTATCTGAAAAAATGTCACTCGCTGCCTAAAGGAACTCCAACACTCCTGCTTGTATTGAAAAATAAACCGATGAATTTTGAAAGAACGACGTCAGTAAACAGCAACAATCTGGATAAGAATAAAACGCAAAAATAACCTTCGGTACGATCTCACCTTCGAGTCCCACTGGAATATGTCGATTTCTTTTTGGACTTTGCTTGATATTTGATGTGCAGTGTGATAATCTCTGATTGGTCAAATCATTGTAACATTCACAGTACGTCGTTTGGCTTGATGGATGTGTGACGGCTCAGCTGGCATCTTCCATGAGTTGTGAGGAGTAAGCAGGGGGTATGGGTTTAAATATAAATATGAAAGCATGTCATGATCCATCTCATTCAATCAAGTGGGTGGTAATTGCTGACGTCATGTATATTGACAACAGAAGAATAGGTACACCATCGCTGTTTGTAATATAAAAGCATGTGTAATATAAAGTATGAATATGAGTAGGTCTACACACAGCTCGGAGATGGCTCCCCCTGCGAAATTCCCAACTTGGAATAGTCCATTATGACGAAGCTTTTTGTTCTTTCACGTACAGTACGTACGATTTCGTGTAATATGTGATTGTTAAAATCTACCTATTGCAAGATTTATTAGATTTATGCGGGTACTTTTTTGGCATAGAACTAGCAGCCGCCTGCCGAATAACAGCCCAACTGGGGTTTGGGTGAACCGTGGAGTTAATACCTATATAACTAACGTGTTTAACCCGGTGACCAATGCTGAACTTTATGCAATTCAGGTCTCTTTCGACCGTGAGCGAATTCTTCAGGGTACATAGAATGAGTCTATAAATCACACAAAAATTTCGACTTATTTCTGTACTCATATATACCGAACTATAGATTCACGCGTTCGGAATGAATGATAAACTGTATCTTTTAAATAGGGATGTAGATATTAGGCCTACACACAAATTAAGTATAAATATAGGCCTAATCTGGTATTTAATGAATACGATAGGTAGGCCTATCTAATCAATGTTGTAGACAAAATAATAGTTATATTTCTGTAACATTTTAAATAATTCAATGAGCTTCACAGTGTATTCAATTCACATTAACATATTAAGATAAGAATATCAAGTTAATAATAAGATCAACTGCAACAATTTTAGCCAATCATCCCCGTTTCACTGTGGGTTCCTCTGAAGTTTGAAGAATATAGACGTGTAGGGGGCATATATAAAATATAAGTACAATTTATATCATATAAAATTGCAACTTATTGCAATAATTTTAGCAGACAATTTTTGGTCTATAGCATCTATGCAACCCACGGTTTTGGCGCTATTTGTGAAAAGTGTTGAGACTGACTGACTGTCTATCCGGGACTTTTTAGTTGTGTATGTAAATACCAATATGAGATATTACTGTTGTTGTTGTTGCTGCTGTTGTCATTTGTTATTATCTCCTTGGGTTTTATATTTGGGGTTTCTTTTTAAAGCGCTACAAATTCTTCTCTTTTTTTATTCAAAAAGAAAAAAAAATATCTTTCTAATATCTAATAACATAATAGGGACTCTAATAAATCTTTAATCTCCAATGAAATATAGGCCTACATCGCGAAATTTAATGATGAAATCTCAAATAAACAAATTGCAGTATTCAACCAGCATAGCCTATCCTGGCATTTTAAGTTTTTGGGGGAATCAGATTAAAGTGTTCTTTCATTTCATCACTCAAGGAATTCATTTGTTTTGTTCACCAATCCAGCCAGAGGATTCACTCATAAACACAGAACAAATTTGTGATTAAAAAAACCAGAAAAAACTTTCTATTTGACCTATACGCCTAAATAGAAGAGGTGCTCCCGGGTCAATGACATGTGATTTTGGAGTTTTTCTGAAAATTTATGAGTATTATGTTGAAATAGTGGTGTATGACCAGACTGATAAATCCACGACTGAGTATCTGTTTCTACGGTTCATCAACTTCATTCTAAAAAATAGAAATGACATGGTGGAGCGATGGCCTATTGAAGCAGGGCGATGATGACTCCGAACACTTGTCGGGATCCCTTTGTGTGTCGGGAAGCCACACACGCTACAGAACACTTAGTTTATTTTCCTATCAATTTCTAGTTACGAAGAGTTCTTGTTGTTTATGACTTGGCGAGAATTGTTTAGGAGTGAGTATAAGCTGCGGAAGTGATGCTTACGATCTGAGGATTTATGTGGGTAGTTGCTTCACTAATAGAAGGGGAAAAAGAACTTCAAAGAGTATAGGCATAATACCTGTCTCTTATACACATCTAGATGTGTATAAGAGACAGATATATAGCTGCTATATAAGCTGTTAAACAAATTGGTAAGCCCTCAAGTTGTATGAAGGCATACGGGAGACCTCTTTTTTCATACAACTAGGCCTATAATAAGGAACTTTCGTTGATTTCATACCATCATGTCCTATTGAGCACTTTATTATTCTCTACCGTATTTTATTATAAAAACAAATTTAAAAAAATTAAAATTTAAAAAAATTAAAAATTAAAACAAATTTTTAAAAAAATAATTTAAAAAATTTAAAATTTAAAATTTAAAATTTTTTTTTTTTGGTAAAAATATTGATATATGCACGACACGTCTCAACCAATGAAGCTTGTATTGCTAAGCATGTTTACATCAATAGCATGATATGATTGCAGGGTCCCGAAAAATGTAGCTAATATTATGTGAATTAAAATACTGGTAGCACATTATTAAATAATATTTATTTATTATACATGTGTAATTAATAATTACTTAATAGTTTGGCCTAGTCAATAAAATGCTATAGGCCTACTACCAGTGTTTTATTTTGCATAGTTTATTTAATACGGTTCCACCTTAGTAGTACGGTAACGAAGCTGAACGCGCATAATTCAAAATCTACATACAGGCCTATTTTGCTTCATTTTATTTAAACAACTTAAACCACTCCATTATTAATGAGCTCTATAATTAAAACAAAAATTCTTTAATAGTCTTTTGCCTCCGTGTTTTGTTTTTTATGGTTTGGCCAGGGAGTTTTAATGATCTCGTGTTGGGCTCTCATCCCATGGTGTCCTCTTGGCACCCCTCTGGCCATTTCATAATTTGTGATTTTTGTGCCGAATATGTAATAAATAAATAAATTAGTTAATTAGCTGTACTGATAAAAGAAGTCAATTTTATAATACTGGTGCAAGCTTATAATGAGAGTTTGTAGAGCATCGTGGATTAGCTGCTCACTGTTGGATGCCTATAGTTCAAAACAGTTTGTTTGGTATGTTTAATTATTCACACTCAATAGTGCAGGTTGCAGTTAATAAACATGACTAAAATATTCGACGATCAGGTTACTTCGGGTGATTATTATTTTGGGCTCATTCAATATGATGACAACAATTCGAACCGGATTTTAGCCTTGTTTAGAGTTTTAGTCTCTAAGCACGAGTGTATCCAATTAAGAATCGGCCCAGAAAATGCTCACAAAATTATCTAATATACTCCAATTATTAGAGCTGCGGTGATTCTAGAAGAAAGAGTTTTGATCTTATGCGGAGGTCAGTCGGCTTTAGAGCATCCAATGACATTGAGCAAAACAATAACATACTAAATGATGTGGGAAATTATGAGAAACTATTATTTATCTACCCCTGCAATACGGTGGTGTTGGAAATAATTATATTATAATTAGCTAGGTGACTAAACTTACATTTACAAAATCGGTAGTTTGAAGCGCAGAGGATTCGTTACGCTAATTACTAGTGAATAAAGTAATATTCTAAGCCTAATGAATTATTTAACGTTTAATAATAATAAATAATAATTATGCTGACAACAATATACTACTATTATTTATGGTCGACAAACTATTCTTACGACGAAGAAAGACCACAACAAATGAATATTAATTTTGTAAGTGAAATTAGACAGATAGGGCCTATAGCTTATGGTTATAGGTCTACTGAATATAATACAGTAGGCCTACCGTAGGCATACTCACTTGCATGAAAGTCAGACATCTTGTAATTCGGTGTCAGCATGTAAAAACCAAAGTTAAAACCAAAGTCCAATAAAATAACCCATAATTCAGCCTACAGATCAACATAATTTCGAAGAATTATATGACTAACAAAAAAAAATGAATAAAGAATTCTTGTTCTGTCGTTTACCTAAAATGCTAATTACTCATCAATAGAGGGTGCTAAACAACGAAAATAAGGCTTACTACTCGAGCGCACGTGGGTTGTCGTAGTCTGGCCTTGGAATTATATTTTAGCTTATAATTATTTCGGCTCTTAGATAGAAATAAAAATACACTGTAGGCTCGGTCTTTATAATGATCTGTAATCCATTATCCTTCCTTTTGTTTAAGTGCGCAAAGTTTTCCCTTACTTCCTATGTGATAAATTGGTTGCTGTAGTTTAGAGTTGAAATAGTTTATTTATTTATTTTTTTATCTTATAACAATCGTCCACAGAAACTGTTCGTTCCCACTTACAGGCGAAAATTGCAATAAACATCAAAAATATAATAAATACAATAAAATCACAAGGTATAAAAAGATTATTACATTATTATTATTATTATTATTATTATTATTATTATTATTAATATTATTATTATTATTTCTATAATTATAATAAATATTGCTATATTTATAATAAATGTATAAATTACTAAAGATTATTTAAAATTACAATTAAAATTACGTTTAAATAACACTTAAAATATTTACAAATTACACTTAAAACACACAGCACTATGATCAATGAGAAATATAATTATTAAGGTGACATTTAAACATATTTAAAGAATTATAAAAGATATCAACTTCAGGACATTTTGTAACAAAATCATTATACAAACTAGATAATCGTGAAATAAAACCATTTTTAGACATTAAAACTAAACAGAAAATAAATCACGTTGACGAAGACCACAACCAGGGACTTTATGTAAGAAATACGAGATAAGGTTACAATCAAACACATTCACACATTTAAACAGGAACAAAAGATCAAGGTACATACGTTTAGAAGATGGACAAGTAACATTTAACTTTTTATTGACCGAGTCAATGATGGCATCGTCGAAATTGATTATATTATTGTTAATACGACGAGGGTCAAATGTTTCAGGACTGATGAAGCGCAAAAACATAAAGTGTATCCTGTCGATTCGTTTAGAGTTACATTTAGATATTGAATTAAAAATGACAGAACAGAAATCTAAAGATGGTCTAACCAATGTGAGATAAAGAAAGCGTTTAGTAGGAATATCAAAAGATCTGCAATTGCGCCACATCATCCTCAAGACTCTGTTGGCCCTTGCCGTAATAAAATTAATATGTCAAATTCCAAAGGATGCTTTTTCAATGTAATTGATAAAACCTTACACTTGTCGGGATGTAGTATCATACAAGACGCTGACGCCCAACGGTAGGGCCTACAACGTGTCCAGATCCTCGTGGAGCCCGCGAGCATCCTCGAGCGAAGATAGTTCTATAGCGTTTAAGATCGTCAGCATAGAGGAGGCTTTTAGAGTGTTTGAAAAGAGGAATAAATCATTGATCTAGATAATATAGGCATACGTTTTGTTTTTATATTAGTTAAAAGGTCATTGTGAATATTAATATTTAATAAATATTGTTTTAAATGACCACATCAAACTATTGTTTACTTGTCTATATTTTATTATTCTTCTTGCTAGGGGTGCTCAAAGACCATTTCCTGGTCCTCCGCTATAGCAACGATGTTTTATCCCCAATGCCGATTCGAATAATATAGGTTAATAGGCCATGGTGTTAATAACATTGAACATTACATAATATGATGTACCGTACATTTATTTTATTACTACAAATACTACAGATAAAAATACAATAGGCCTAACTACATAATTTCTATTTCTTGTAAATTTTATTTATATGCCATAAGGTGTACTATATAAGATGGGTATACCTATGCCTACATTGACATTCATCATATGGAAAATCATAGCAAAACACGTATAGGATACTTCATCAGGAAACATTAAAAGGAGTTTCCATATTATTCGGTCAATTAATACATGGCGACATTTTGTTCAAATTTATATGGTCAGTGCAGTGTGAAGAACATAACAAAGTGTCCGTTCCGTCGCTAAGCACTGGACAAGGATTGGCATAAACGAATAACTTACTGTTCTATATTAACAATTCAATAATTTACTTTCATATGTAATTTTAAAACAATATAATAGATGACTAAGATTTAAATAATGTTGTATTCAGTACTTAGGCGTAGCGCCCTCTATGTTTATAAAGAAATGGAGATATTCGCTACACCGATATTTATGCCCATGTTCAATAGTTTATAAGGCTAAATTTAATATAATATAGCTTAGCTGCTAAACTTCTAAAAGAGAGTTAAATGTAACCCAGCAATTAAGGATTTGGTGACCATTTGCCGGCTAGGATTGCCGGCTGTTAATAACTGAATACAATATTATTGTGATTAACAGTTATGTTTCTTTGTTATTATTTAGAAGTTGAGTGATGAAATTTTAACATAATTACACCGTACGGACAGGCAATAACAAAATTGAGATCGTCAGAAAGATGACTAAAAAGCAACTTCTTCATGAATCACTGAAGTACACAAGTGTTTTAAAACATCGCATGCTGTCAGAACCAACAACAGTCACGAGTCCACTCGAACTCCACTTGCACGTATTCCTCAAACCCAACTTGTCAATCACTTCGACAAAATTCCTCGAAACGTTTTCCGGAAAAGAAATTGATTTTCTTCTTATCCATAGTACTATACTGATTTATCGAGACATAATTTGTTCATCGATCGTGCGTGCGGACCATCTTGAACTGTTTAAAAGCTGTTATAAAAAAATCTTTCGCGTTATAGTCTCAAAAGTAACAAGACCGCCTTTAAAATTTGTAGTGTTGCTCTTATTCTTACCTATCAATGAATACTCAGTCCAATAGTTCTATACCACTTCAGATAAAGTGGAGACAAATTCTTAAAAATGTTCGTCTAATAAGAACCAGCACTATCCCTACTAAACCCTAATAATGCTACTTCTTTTAGTTGAAATTTCTTCTCCAGATAGATTTTGCAGCCATGGTATAAGCCTACTTGAAAACAATAAAAAATAAATAAAATAGTTGTAATTATAAAAACTAGTCCTCATTACATACATAAAGGTGGATTCTGATTTAATCCATCACTGGTGTGCGAATTTATAGCATTAATTTTACTTTAACGAACAAAATGTGAGATGTTTACTTCTTATCCAATAACAGACCTGACTTTAAACACTTCATTCACATCCAGGTAGTAGTCCAAAGCTCAATTTGGCCCATCAGTTATTTTCAAGCAAAGTACGGAACACGATGTGATTAAATATTTTCAATAGCCAGTACCGTAGCTACTACGAGAATAACATATAATAAAAGCCTATAAGCAGCGCTAAAATGGTAAAGGTTGAATTATTTAAATGGCCAGTATTTTTAATGTCCGATGTTGTTAAATGGAATTGCATAGTTCTATTCGTTGTTAATATACCTCTATTGTCTGACTGTAGGTCTAAAGATGAAGAATAAGGAGACGCCTTTCTGGCTTCAGAAGTTGATGGATTATGGGCTGTTGGTCGATCCTGGGGCGGGACGGTCACTTTAGGATTAATAACAGAAGTTGAAGGATACGCCGTTTTCGTTGGCCGTACACCTTTGGGTGGGACAGTCACTTTAGTCCTAGGCTTGTCAAAACAAAGTCCTTTTTTAGGGTAAGATTCACAGCTAAGTCGATTCGGCCAGTCATATCCCTTTGATTTGACTACTGGTTCACAACCTTTTCTTACACTTTCACAAAGATCTCGGCATGGCGGGAAAGGAGCATACGAAACTACATTGCACATCGGTGTGTAAACAGCACACAAGAATAATCGAAGATCTTTCGAACAACCACTGCGAATAAGAAATTCGTAATTGTAACCAGTCATCTCTAATTCCACCTCTATTTGAGTTTCTTGACCAAGAATATTCGGCATGTGCGTCATGTTGTATGGCATACGTTTGCACATGTCCACCTGAATGGGTTCACATTCATACATGTATCCAAAGTGCTGGTCATGCTGACATGTACCAACATTCATCAAAACGTAAACAAGTAGGAAATAGTAAACAATGCTACTTGAGTTTCTGCTACTTGAGTTTCTGTAAACGTTCTCTCTAAAATTCCACAACATTGTGAGGTAAATAAGTAAAACGTCTACTTATCCAATCTCAAGCAACTAATCCACTCTACTTTCTATCTTTGAAATGGTTTGGCCTACCATGTAAGCCTACTGTAAACTACAGTAGTGCGTTCATTCACGACAGGAGCTCCTGGTATAACGCTGGAAGGTCAATAAATGTTTTGAGAAATCCAAGCAAGAATGTCAAGTCTTGTGTATTCGTAAGGCACGACCAGTCTGATCGCGGGCCCAATATCAAATCTATCAAGAACGCACGCGATTTTAATTCTAAACGTAATTCCCGTCCATAAGCACACAGCAGGGTGCAGTCAACAATACGCTTGTGCCGGGCTGAAGAAATAACATACTCCTAATACTAGTTATTCAATTTTTGGCGCACCACCATAAAAAAGCAAACAATCTCGTTGTCTGATAATTGCACATTATAACTTGGAGATAAAACGATATGATGAAAGTGAACGTGATGAATCTAAGTAGACGACTACAAATAAATTAGCCCAGGCTTGAGTCCCTGACAGCTACACTTGACGATAACTGAGCTCGGCGGGAAATCTGACAAATTGTCCGTCAGACGACGTGCGTCTGAGGAGTTTGAACTTTCTTTGGCTTTGCGAATGCAGAGTCTGCGTTCCGCCAAACATCGTACGGCGACTATCACCCGTCAAATTAATTTGTAACTTTAATCATTCGGCAATTAAATTTATCCAACTGTCCGTCGTAAATTAAAAAAACCAAGAGACTGTCACATTAAAAAGGGTAATTAGAAACAATACACATAAACGACATACTGTATGCAACTGATTGCCTACTTACTGTATGTCGTCATGTACTGTACAGAGTACAGTAGTGTCTTAAATCATAAATAAGCGCAACCCAGTGTTTTTTATAATTACACTTTTAAGCTTTATAAAAACACTTCAGTCATTAATGCATCTTCCAGTCATGTGGAGTTGTTAACCGTAATATCCAGCGAATACATACAAGAATACTAAAGAGTTACAAAATGCCAGTTGTATTTATTGTTTATCGAAGTTATAGGAACTGGAGACATGATCTAACATCCATTACATTGCAAATGTGTTAATAAAGTATGGTATGTATAGCAACGAATGTCGACACATAATTCAGTAACCCAAAAGTCACCATGGTTGAACAACACTAACCAAATTAATTCCCCATACAGACGGTTTTTTTTTTTCAAAATCAAGTTCCCCGTTTAATAGTACACATGGGATCCATGGTGATTTATATATTATAGAGTTACAAGGGCGTAAGTATTGACAGTATTTTTTTCTGGAAAAAATATAAAGTGCTTTTCCAAATTTCGTAATTAATATTATATAATTGTTGCTTAAAATTGTTACGGTACTTTTCAGGGATAACAATATACTTAAAATAAGTAACCTAGCATTGATATGATCAGGTACACTCACAAACGATGCTCAAAAAACGTCAACATAATCGAAACACAGGTGATTCATTTAAAGCTTATCTAGTAACAATAAGTTCATTTAAATTTTAGCCATATTAGCAAGGACAATTATAAAACTAAATCAGATGATATATAAAACTTAATTGTCAGAAAACTTTCAACATTAATTCTATTGCTGAATAACTTTCCCTCAACCAACCCAATCCCAATACGACGGATTCCACACATCTTTACAATCATGTTCTATCATTCAGTGGCGTATCTCACCATCCAGCCCCCACCCCCCTCCCCACGCTTCACCCTCGCCCCACCTCCATCAGCACCCCCATTTCAAGCCTTCTAGAAACACCACTGCTATCATTGGATGGTAGCTTCAGACTACACAATACAAAATAAGCACACTTCTGATTGAATACAAAATAAAATTTTCATTACATGGAACTCATAAAACTGTACAATATTTGCTATATACATTGCCTTCTATACATTACATAACTTAGACTAACCTTAACCTTCTACTCTTTTCCATGATGCCCATTTAGTCAACTACAAAGGATGTATTTATTATGTGTCATCAGTTTTTAAATTCTAACACTGTTCAACAAAAATGGTATTGTTATAGTTCCAATACATAATATATAAATATGCGTGTGTATACTGTCTCTTATACACATCTAGATGTGTATAAGAGACAGCTTACCTATCAATGAATACTCAGTGCTGTCTCTTATACACATCTAGATGTGTATAAGAGACAAACATAGAGCATAGTGCCATAAAATTGAAAGAATTTCTGGCATCACAATTTTTCAGGTTATAAGAATTTATGGCACTATATATAATAGGTGATATAAAATTCATACTTATATATCATTATTACTATTATTATTATATATATTATTCCACTACACAAAGAACATCAAGAAAACTAAAATCTAAAATTAACATTTCTGAATTATTAACATAAAATAGTAAATACAGTAATAGGCCTAAAAAAATCATATAATTTTTATGAAATTGAAATTGGCATCTTGTTTTTAATTTGATTAGCTCAAAAAGTAATTGTAAGAAAATTCCAGTTAATAAAACAAAGTCATGAAATTTGTTTATATTGTATGAACATGTTACATTTGTTTAATTAGCGATGTCACTGCTAAATTTTTCAGAAGATTTGCTATGTGGCCACCTGGATACAATATTAAGCCTACTGTTCACCTGTATATTAATTCTGCTTGAATAGGCAAGACTGGCATAGCTGCTCAATCACTTCTGAAACCTACATCTCTGCAAGACACAAGTAGATTTTTGAGGGTTGATAGGGGTACGATATTAATAATAATATTCAATACTTCTAATTAGGCTAATATTCGGAGACTCACTCAATCAAATACAAAATATGCAAAAAAGTACACTACTGCAGTAGCATAAAATAACACTAATGACATACACCTACATGATTAGGCCAAGAATATGCATCGTCATAATATATGACCAGCTCTAGCAAATCCTACAGTTGCTGACATTTCTAATTTTGCCCCAGCACCCAAAATGTCAGAGAATGGGAATCTCAAATATGTTCAGGTTTTAACAGTTCATGAAAGGAAGCGATATTAAAGAACATTTCAACCAATGGTTTGGTCAGAGCTGGTAACATATGTTCATCATTTAAGTTGTAACATTCTTTAAAATATATTTAATATGATTAAAAAAACAAAATAGTTAATTATATCACATTTTATAAATTTTAAGCCATATCACAGTCTTACAACGGATTCAAGTCAATTTACTGTACACATGATGATGATGCTTAAATAAAAGCGAAATGTAGAATAAAGATGGCATTGTCAATATTTGGAGTGATATTCTTATTTCAATGTATACACTCTTCATAATATCAGGATCATACAGTAACTCATAATATAATTCTTATCATCATTAAAAATTGATAACAACAAATTCACCACCTCTAATTTTCTATGATTACACACAAAGCTTATCTTACAACACTGCATCAGTATGTATATCAAATAACAGATTAATTTCCTTCAATGTTGATTAAGACAATAACAACTAGCAGGTTTTCACTGCACTCATGTTACCACAGGAGCACCCATTAACAGAGACGCACTTTAGTTCAAAACCTTCCCAGCAGTGGTATGCTTGCCCCGGCTGATACCTCTTGTCTGCTTCCGTCACACATCTTCTGACCATGACACACATCAGCGTAGCTCGGGCAATCTCACCAGGATGCGCCTATCGCGAGACCTGCTTCAAACACTCTCTCGCCATGGAGCCTAGTTACAAATTCAGTTTTTCAATTACATTTTGATTGGTTGGCAATTACTGGTATTCTTATCCAAATAGCCTTCCCAAGGGTGGAATTCCATCTAAGTAGACAGTGTCTTGTTTCGATTGGTTTAGGAAGGCTCTAATCTTTTTACACATCTTTTTTTACTGTTCCCAGTTTTGAAATGTCATTTTCAAAGAGTTAGGCCTCCATACCTTATGATGATAATTTTCTTAAGATTAGCACTTTACTGTTTGGTGTCCATTAAATCCAGGCTCAGGGGGGGAAACAAATTTTGAGATGTTGTACAACTGATTTTTCTAAGACAAAAAAGCATATTAAAAGCATAAAGCAGTTAATGACGAGATACATATTTTTGAAAACTTAAAAACTTGGGGAAAAGAGGCATAACTACCCATTTTCCATCTTTTCCCAAGTTTTTTAATATTCAAAAAGCTTCATCTTATTAACCACTCCCGACAATTATAGTCAAATTGTTTTTTATGTCTTTGAAAAATCAGTTGTAAAACATATCAAAATATTCCCTCCCCTTCATAAAGAAGGGGAGGGGGGTCATAATGATGTATGTAATTTGAAAGTGCACAATAATATCTGTACATTATCAGGTGAATCAAACATGTTGTGCTATCAATACTGAGAAAATAAAAAATAAACATATTTTGAAGTTGTAATTCAGCATATTATAGTTTACCAGACCACAAAGTTCTGGAATAAAATTACAACCATTCTCAAAATAATGTTTAAAGTCAGGCTCCGGAGGAAAACAATTTTTTGATATGTTGTAGAACTGATTTTTTTAAGACAGAAAAAAGTTGTTTGACGAAAAACTGGGGAACGGTGAATGAGATACAGATTTTTAAATATTTAAAAACTGGGGGAATAAGGTGTAAAAATGGGCAGTTACGCCCCTTTTTCCCCCAGTTTTTAAATATTAAAAAATCTGTATCTCATTCACCGTTCCCCAGATTTTCGTCAAACAACTTTTTTCTGTCTTAGAAAAATCAGTTCTACAACATATCAAAAAAAAT